AGCTATCCGATCTATCGTTGTAGCGAGACAGCGGCCATACTGAGCTATCCGAGCTATCATTGGAGCGAGACACCGCCCATACTGAGCTATCCGCGCTTTCATTGTAGCGAGACCCCGGCCATACTCAGCTATCCGAGCTATCATTGTACCGAGCCGCCGGCCATACTGAGTTATCCCAGCTATCATTGTAGCGAAACACCGGCCATACTGAGCATTCCGAGCTATCATTGTGGCGAGCCGCCGGCCATACTGAGTTATCCGAGCTATCGTTGTAGCGAGATGCCGGCCATACTGAGCTCTCCGAGCTATCATTGTATCTAGACTCCGGCCATCCTGAGCTAGCCGAGCTATCATTGTGGCGAGCCGCCGGCCATACTGAGCTCTCCGAGCTATCATTGTAGCGGGACGCCGGCCATACTGACCTATCCGATCTATCGTTGTAGCGAGAGGCCGGCCATACTGAGCTATACGCGCTATTATTGTAGCGAGATATCGGCCATACTGAGCTATCAGAGCTATCATTGGAGCGAGACGCCGGCCATCCTGAGCTATCCGATCTATTATTGTAGCGAGCCACCGGCCATACTGAGCATTCCGAGCTATCATTGTATCTAGACTCCGGCCATCCTGAGCTATCCGATCTATTATTGTAGCGAGCCACCGGCCATACTGAGCATTCCGAGCTATCATTGTGGCGAGCCGCCGGCCATACTGAGTTATCCGAGCTATCGTTGTAGCGAGATGCCGGCCATACTGAGGTATCCGAGCTATCATTGGAGCGAGACGCCGGCCATTCTGAGCGATCCCAGCTATCGCCAGTATAGGTGGTCAAGACCTGTGTGAGTGTTGCTGTGGCGGGGCAGGGGGGGGTGAGCGAGCGGTCGGCCTCGTGTGTATGATCCGAGCTATCATTGTCGCGAGACTCCGGCCATACTGACCTATCCGATCTATCGTTGTAGCGCGACAGCGGCCATACTGAGCTATTCGAGCTATCATTGTAGCGTGCCTCCGGCTATCCGGAGCTATCCGAGCTATAATTGTAGCGAGCCGCCGGCCATACTGAGCTCTCCGAGCTATCATTGTAGCGGGACACCGGCCATACTGATCTATCCGATCTATCATTGTAGGGAGACTCCGGCCATACTGAGCTATACGCGCTATTATTGTAGCGAGACACCGACCATACTGAGCTATCCGCGCTTTCATTGTAGCGAGACCCCGCCTATACTGAGCTATCCGCTCTATCGTTGTAGCGAGGCAGCGGCCATACTGAGCTATTCGAGCTATCTTTGTAGCGAGACCCCGGCCATACTGAGCTATTCGAGCTATCATTGTACCGAGACACCGGCCATACGGAGCTATCCGAGCTATTATTGTACCGAGACGCCGGCCATACTAAGCTATCCGAGCTATTATTGTAGCGATATCATTGTAGCGAGACCCCGCCTATACTGAGCTATCCGACCTATCATTGTGGCGAGACTCCGGCCATACGGAGCTATCCGAGCTTTCATTGTAGTGAGACGCCGGCCATACTTAGCTATCCGAGCTATCATTGAAGCGAGACGCCGGCCATTCTGAGCGATCCCAGCTATCGCCAGTATAGGTGGTCAAGACCTGTGTGTGTGTTGCTGAGGCGGGACAGTGAGAGGGCAGCGAGCGATCGGCCTCGTGTGTATGATCCGAGCTATCATTGTGGCGAGCCGCCGGCCATACTGAGTTATCCCAGCTATCATTGTAGCGACACTCCGGCCATACTGAGCCATCCGAGCTATCATTGTGGCGAGACCCCGGCCATACTGAGCTTGCCGAGCTATCATTGTAGCAAGACACCGGCCATACTGAGCGATCCGAGCTATCATTGTGGCGAGACTCCGGCCATACTGGGCTATCGGAGCTATCATTGTAGCGCGACGCCGGCCATACTGAGCTAACCGATCTATCATTGTAGGGAGACCCCGGCCATACTCAGCTATCCGAGCAATCATTGTAGCTATCCTCCGGCCATACTGAGCCATCCGAGCTATCATTGTCGCGTGACTCCGGCTATACTGAGCTATCCGATCTCTCGTTGTAGCGAGATGCCGGCCATACTGAGGTATCCGAGCTATCATTGGAGCGAGACACCGCCCATACTGAGCTATCCGATCTCTCGTTGTAGCGAGACAGCGCCCATACTGAGCTATCCGATCTATCGTTGTAGCGCGACAGCGGCCATACTGAGCCATCCGAGCTATCATTGTCGCGAGACGCCGGCCATACTGAGCTCTCCGAGCTATCATTGTACCGAGCCGCCGGCCATACTGAGCTACCCGAGCTATTATTGTAGCGATATCATTGTAGCGAGACGCCGCCCATACTGAGCTATCCGCGCTTTCATTGTAGCGAGACTCCGACCATACTGAGCTATCCGATCTCTCGTTGTAGCGAGATGCCGGCCATACTGAGGTATCCGAGCTATCATTGGAGCGAGACGCCGGCCATTCTGAGCGATCCCAGCTATCGCCAGTATAGGTGGTCAAGACCTGTGTGAGTGTTGCTGTGGCGGGGCAGTGAGAGGGCAGCGAGCGATCGGCCTCGTGTGTATGATCCGAGCTATCATTGTGGCGAGACCCCGGCCATACTCAGCTATCCGAGCTATCATTGAAGCGAGACGCCGGCCATTCTGAGCGATCCCAGCTATCGCCAGTATAGGTGGTCAAGACCTGTGTGTGTTGCTGTGGTGGGACAGTGAGAGGTCAGCGAGCGGTCGGCCTCGTGTGTATGATCCGAGCTATCATTGTCGCGAGACTCCGGCCATACTCAGCTATCCGAGCAATCATTGTAGCTATCCTCCGGCCATACTGAGCTTTCCGAGCTATCGTTGTAGCGAGACGCCGGCCATACTGAGCTATCCGAGCTATCGCCAGTATAGGTGGTCAAGACCTGTGTGTGTGTTGCTGTGGCGGGACAGTGAGAGGTCAGCGAGCGATCGGCCTCGTGTGTATGTATGCACGCTCTGAGAGATCAGTAGTAGGAGAGCTCAGTTAGATTAGTATTAGGTGTTTATTGTTCTATACGTAGTTATTTTGCATTTACTATTACATTGATACTGCTTTGTATATTCCCCCTGTGCATATTTATTAGTACAAGACGTACATGATCACAAGCAGTGATTACTCGGACATAGGCAATGTTTCAGAGCTAGAGTAACTTGTCTGTGTGTATAGGCATCCTAACTAAAATATTGATTCACCCCAGTTTGGGTAGATATACTCGCCGGTATCTTCAGTGTGACTGGTACGGACCATAGGAGAAACATCAGATTTGTTTTTCATTTCTTTCCTCAATTAACAAGAATTTTAACAATACGCAAGATATATGAGCACAGTTAATGTTCGGTTGATTTAAAGTTCATTTGTAATTTCTAACGATAACTCCTTGAACTTAAGACATTAAGATAAATATAAGAATCAAAGAGAACATCCTCCATTGTCCACATGATCGAGAGAAACTTGATTTCGTAAAAGAACAAAACATCGTTTTATGTTTTGACATAAGCTTTACTTGTTTGTATATGACTATATATAAGAAAAATAAAGAAAAAAAAAAGTTCGGATTATCAGGAAAATTTGATTATAGAAAACTAGGCATGCGCAATACTGTGTTCATCTCTTTTTCAACTTTGAGTAATTTGGGCAATTTTGATATAATTCAATTTTATGTACGTGAAGGGAGATAACTGTTTTTTGAAAAATGTTACCCTCTGCAAAAAGTTCTGTTTTTGTATGGTTTGTATGATCTATTTGAATGACACAGCTTTGTAAGCAAACAAATGACACAGCTAGCGCGCATTATGTCGTTTGCTTGCAAAGCTGTGTCATTCAAATAAATCATACATACCATACAAAAACAGTTCAATGCTTAATAAGTCACACGTATATGTTTGCAACTGATATTGATTTGGGAGAAATGGGGGAGCTAGGGCGATTTATGGAAGGTACATCTATATACCTTTCGCACTGTTACGTTGTACGAAAGTCATTTCGCTCTTAACCATTCATGGAACCGTACCGACCACATTCATTGTACATGTTGTATATGAATAAATATTCTAGTGTATTTTCGCCAAACTGGTAAAATACTGTGTTAACAAACGAAAGCGTTTTCGATTAAGTTTGGAGTTCACAGGCTTGTGGAGATAGCACATTTAGTGAAGCTTTGTCTTGAATGACGAACTGCTCCATCATGACAACGCCAGAGTCCAAAGCGTCGTCTTACAGATGACTCAGTGAAGCCTTACCGGTTCAAAGTGTTCCCTCATCGGCCATACTCATCATAATTTGCTCCTAGAACTACTTTCTATTCCAAAACGTATCGAACTGAGAAAATAAGAATTGTCTGCACGCTCTGTTCAGCCTGGAGATGACCTCCAGAAAGCAGCTGAGGAGTGGCTGTTAACCAATCACCAAGTTTTTATCATAATTGTCTTCCAGTGTATCGACCTCCAGGGTGATTATGGGGGGGGGGGGGGGGGGGGGAAGTAAGGTCTGTTTGCAGATTGGTTTAGGCCCATTGTGTTCATTTACTCTTACACATGTATTATATAAAGGAAAGTAGGCACATGTTCCTACATTTTACTAGGCCTCTCCACATGACACATTATTATAAGTATAATGCATGAAAACGAGTAGTTAATTATATATAAGAAAGGAAAACTATTATATCCTAAAAGGAGGAGATGCGTATACATGCAAATCGGTTCAACAGTAGGATAACTAATATTACAATGATTAAACAGTAAGGTTAAGATATGAAATTAGAGACGGGAGTATTCTTTTATTGAATTCCTGTATACACGATGGATAAGATAAGATACTAATATAGCATCAATCAGTAGTTATATTTAGATGTAATAATTCAAGGAATGTGTAAGTATCTTTTATCCTGTATCACTGATATAAATCAATTATTCTGATAATATCATCATAGGTGTCATAAAATGATCTTCGTTTGTCAGAGTTAAAAAAAGATGATTAGGAACAATTGGAAATCAAAAATGATACAACAGGAAAAAACACCGAACAATTACGGGCTGGCAACTCCTGTTACATTAATATGTTTAATATAAATAAATCCTTTATTATAACTTACAATACCTTTTAAGCATGAAGTATAAAATAGACTCTTTAGCAGGTTCGCGTTTATCAACAAATGTTTATAAAGCACTGTCATTAAAAGCAAGTCATATCTAATTTGCATCGATTTAAATAAATAAACATGCAATACCCTCTAATCAGACATTCACTAGTTCCAGTAAAAAAGTTTCAAATACAAATATGAGTATCATATCCAAATGTTATAATAACTCATGCAAACAATTATAACACAGACTCGAGCTTGACGTTTCGACGTAGTCCGCTAGCAAAGTTATTGTATAGTATGTACGAAACTGTCCTCAAGATATTCTCTGATAGTGACTTTCCCGTCTTTTTGTATTGCAGAGTTATCTGCTCTTGAGAGCAGGTATTGATTGTTACGTCATTTGTTTGTAAGAGTAACGTCATAATGTTTTGAAAAAACGACGTAATTTTATCACACAAACTAATGACGTAACAATCAATAAAGTTATTAATCGTTTAACAAACCACACTCGCATATCATGTCAAAATGACCAAAACATTTACTTACCGTTACAGCCGACGGTGATAGTTACAATCAATAACAGTGTTTGTTGCATCTTTTCGAATCCTCAAGATAAAATCTAACAGGTTTCTGCGGGGACAACAGTTACCGGGTTTTATGTGTACCACTCGATATTGTCAATCATGTAATTTGGTGCTAGCTGTCACGCTAAACACGCTGTTCGCACATATACAAATCATACAAAGTGCACATGTTACCTGCGAGCTGAATATCAATAGTGATAAGAAATAAACATAAAGTTGAAAGTGATACAATGTAACATTGTAAAACAAATGAAAAATATTTGAATCTCTTTAGCAAAGTTTGCATTTATATTCCTGATTATTGTTTCATATGATATTGAATCAAAATAAAGTTGAACTGCATGCCCACAATAATAACAAAATTACAGTGTGAAAATAAAATCTACATTATTACATATATGAGTAGTCCTGCTTTTTTGAAGATATGTTACATTTTGCATTGCTTTTTAGACTTTAATTATGCAGTAATTACAAGCACAATTATCATTAAGACATTTAAGAATAGATTTAGTTTAGTAACTTATGGAAGAGTAATATAACTATTCTGTTGTTTAATTCGGTTAAGAAAAAAAACCATAAGAGAATAAAATAAAAAGTTCAATAATTTGTTCCGAAGAGAAAGCTTAAAATTGTGGGAGAAAAAACTCCCCAATCTCGTAATGGTCAATTCTCATGTTCAGTTAAACACATAAACCTCGTGATTTTATACAATTTGAAAATTAACTATCTCGAGTTAAATAACTATGATAACAATCACGCTTCAGGGGAACCTCTATGAATACATCTATTGTTCTCGGTTTAAAATTTTATGTTAAGTCAATAGAAAGAGAACCTAGAACAAGATGTAGCAACCCTGAATAACTACCTACACTGTACACAAACTTTAGCGGCTTTGTTTTACTAGCTTTTCCCTTTAGTTTGAAATTGTATACAGTAAAATCCTTCTTACTCGAACTCGTGGGGCAATGGTTCGAGGAATACATGGTATTCGGCGAATCCGAGGTTCGGCCGATATCGTCATTTTTCAATCAGGCGTCCAAGACAGACAGTTCGAGCACTGCATCTATCGCGGACAGTAGATAGTAGAAGTTAAACAGAATTTCATATAAAAAAGCTGAAAAATTAAAATATATAGCCATCGGTATTAAGAAAGGGTTTTTATTTTTAAAGGACAACACATCTCGTTTTGGCAGTCCGCCATACTGTATTCGGTCACGGTCGGGACCAAGCGAACTGTTCGAGGAATAGGGGTATTTTAGTAATGAGAGTTCGAATAAGTGGGTTGTCACCGTTTTTAGAAATTTAAGTGGTCAAAATTGCTAAAGGTTATTTTGTTCTGAATGTTAAAATTATTAACAGACAGGGGCCTGTCTAATTTAAAATGTTTGCTATACTCTCGATCATTATATCAATACGGTGGTAGATAATTTGTGTTCTGCTGTATCAAGGAGTTATGTTTAAATGTTTTATTTTTGTCAGGGGCTTAATGCATATGCTTATCGTTTAGAACATAATTATGGTGGCTTGACTATTTGCATAGAACTTACCTTGGTAATATATTACTTTCTGGCTGA